AGTTATCTCTCATGAGCAGGGAAGGGATACCTACTATGAGAGCTTTCAAGGTGATGGGAACTGTGAAATGGGCAAAAGGAGATCAGTTGGTAGAAGTTTAATTGACAGTGGTGCCACCCACAATTTCATTTCTCAAAGACTGGTAGAGCAGCTGGGATTACCTTTTAATACCATACCTAATTACAAGGTTCAGATTGGGAATGGAGAGAAGATAGCTAATGATGGGAGATGTGAGGAGCGCAGGGTACAAACATTAAACAGGATATTTATATCCTCAGTTTGGGAGGTACAGATGTAGTATTGGGTATGGAGTGGCTGACTAGCTTGGGAGATGTTGAAATCAATTTCCAAAAGCAAACTATCAAGTGGCAGCAGTTGGGTCAAGAGTTGTATATTCAGGGAGATCCAAAACTGAATTCCATGGAAGTTTCTTTAAAAACTATTTCACAAATCTTACAAGACAATGGAGATGGTTATTTTGTTTATTGTGAAAGCAGTACATTGAATATGAAGAACTGTGGGGAGCTGGAACCTGTGTGGGAACATATTTTGGCAGAATTCCCAGAAGTTTCTCAACCTTTGGAGGGGCTGCCTCCCATCAAGAGTTGCGATCATTCCATTACCATTCAAGAAGGAGCTACCATACCTAATATTAGACCTTACATATACCCTCACTATCAGAAGATTGAAATTGAAAGGATTGTGAAGGAAATGTTAGATTCTGGAATAATTCAAAACAGCACTAATCCATACAGCAGTCCAATACTTCTAGCCAAGAAGAAAGATGGTGGGTGGAGGTTCTGTGGAGATTACAGAGCCCTAAACAAGATTACAGTTCCAGATAAATATCCTATTCCTGTCATAGAGGAACTACTTGATGAGCTTGGGGAAGCCAAATATTTTTCTAAACTGGATTTGAAATCTGGTTACCAGATTAGAATGGAGGAGGACAGGAAGAAGACAGCTTTCAGAACGCATGAATACTTGGTGATGCCCTTTGGCTTGACAAATGCACCTTCTACTTTCCAAGCTCTCATGAATAAGGTTTTAAGGTCATATTTGAGGAAGTGTGCCTTAGTATTTTTTGATGACATCTTGGTTTACAGTAGATCTATAGAAGACCACAAAGAACATTTAAGAGCAGTTTTATCTGCTTTGAGGGATAATCAGTTGGTGATTAACCTAAAGAAATGTTCCTTTGGGCAGCTTCAACTGATCTACTTAGGGCACATCATCTCTGGAGAAGGGATAAAAGCTGACTCTACCAAGATTGAAGCAATGGTTACCTGACCAACACCTAAGAATTTGAAGGAGTTAAGAGGTTTTCTAGGGGTGACAGGTTATTATAGGAGGTTTGTTAAGGGGTACAGTAAAATTGCCTTGCCCCTTACACAACTTCTAAAGAAGGATTGTTTTCAATGGGATGAAAAGGCTTTACAAGCTTTTGAAGAATTAAAGAAGACCATGACTTCTTTACCAGTATTGGCAACACCTAATTTCAATAAAACATTTACTTTGGAAACTGATGCTTCTGGAACTGGGTTGGGAGCAGTTCTAATGCAAGAAGGGAAGCCAATAACCTTTATGAGCAAAGCTTTATCAAAGAGAAACCAAAACAGATCTGTGTATGAAAGAGAGCTTCTAGCCATTGTTCTGGCAGTGCAGAAATGGAGGCCCTATTTGTTGGGCAGATCATTTGAGATTCTGACTGATCAGAAAAGTTTAAAATTTCTAACTGAGCAAAGGTTTGTGGGGGAAGAGCAGCAAAAATGGACTTCAAAATTATTGGGGTATAATTTCACTATCAAATATAGACCTGGAATTGAAAACAGAGCTGGTGATGCTTTGTCCAGGAGACCTATACTCCAATCACTATCCATTGTGACATGCCAGGAATGGGAAGGCTTGGAGGAAGAATTGGAATCAGATCCTAAGTGTACAGAGTGGATTCAGAAGTTGATTTCACATCCAGACTTCACACTGAATTTCAGATGAGAAAAGGATTACTTTACTACAACAACAGGCTGGTCTTACCACAAGGATCCCCCAGAATAACCAAATTATTGAAGGAGTATCATGAATCTGCAGTTGGAGGACATTCGGGGTATTTTAGAACCATGAAAAGGGTTTCTAATCTTTTCTTCTGGCATGGAATGAGAAAAGATATTAATAAATTTGTGGAAGAATGTGAGATTTGTCAGACAAATAAGTATCAGGCTCTCAAACCAGCAGGGTTGTTACAACCCTTACCAATTCGTAATAGCATTTGGACTGACATAAGTATGAATTTTATTGGTGGATTGCCTAAGTCAAAAGGGAAGGATACTATTTTGGTCATTGTGGACAGATCGACCAAGTATGCTCATTTTGTGGCTCTATCACATCCCTTCAGTGCTAAGGAGGTGGCAGATGTATTCATCACGGAGGTTGTCAGACTGCATGGTTTTCCTAAAACCATAGTTAGTGACAGAGATAGTGTATTCCTAAGTGCATTCTGGTCAGAGCTTTTTATAGCATTGCTTACCACCCTCAAAACGGATGGCCAGACTGAGTTGGTCAACAGATGCCTTGAAACATATCTGCGATGTCTGACTGGAAGAAAACCTAGGAAATGGTTTCAATGGCTACATTGGGCTGAGTATTGGTATAATATCAATTATCATGCTGCTATGAAAATTACTCCTTACAAAGCTCTATTTGGACAGGATCCACTTGCAGTAATTAGAGGGGATGTAACTCTAACTGCTATAGAAGAAGTCTCCAAGTTCAGTAGCTTTTAAACTCAAGTTACCAGATGACAGCAAAATCCATCCAGTTTTCCATATATCATTGCTCAAAAAGGTTATTTCCCCTACTACCTTCTATCAGCCTCTACCCAATTGCCTCAGTGAGGAATTAGAACTACAGGTGGTTCCAAAAGATATCTTGGATACAAGGGTTGACAAACAAGGGAATGTGGAAGTATTGGTACACTGGAGCAATCTGCCCAACTTTGAGGACTCCTGGGAACCTTTATTAAAGCTCAAAGAACAATTTCCAGAGCTTCACCTTGAGGACAAGGTGAAATTCCAGGGAGGGAGTAATGATAGACAAGGAGCAAATGAAGCGGTTCAGTTTCTCCAAATATGACTAACTTATTTTTTAGACATTTGTATGACTCAAAATCCCAAAAGAAATAAAAATGCGTTCATAATAAAATGTTTAATGACAAAAATACCCTTATTTAAGATATGTGCATTTTGCACTAATTTCGTCCAAGTAAAATTAATGCATTTTATATTGTTGTTACTGCATGACATTAATGCACGTTGTTAGTGCACATCCGGTAATAATCACTGCACTTCCGTCAAAATTATTTCTCTTCTCATCCACTTTAGAAATTTATTTATAGTTTTTTATTTTTTATTCTTTTTACAATTAATAATTTTAGTATTTTACGTATAATTAAATATTTTGCATTTCATGCCGGTCTTACTGCTCTACGTTAACGCACTACTTGTCATAATTATTGCACTTCCCGTCAATGGATTTTTTCACTGCCCATGTACATCATTATTTATTGTCATGTTCACTCTCCATATTCAACACTATTCATCAGAATGTTTATTGCACATGTTCAATGCATGTCAAAAAAACTTAATATGAAGAAATAGAAAAAGATAAATAACGAAAATAGGTTTGAGTGTTATCTGCATTGCATTCCATAATTATATGGCACCATCATGAGATGAATGGATGACATACAACATATGGCTACCAGAAGTCATATTACGACCACACAATCAACCTCCTCCGCAAATTAAAATCAATTGAATGCACAAAAGCTTCCTACAGCCGCACGGACGAAGCAGCAGTACTACGACCACCAACACTCCTTCACCAAAGCTCTCTCCGACCTGTTTTGTGGCTTCCTCGCAATCGGAATTCCGGGCAGGGACCAAGTCAATAGAGAACGAGACAGAAATCACAGAGAATAATTAAATATTTTGCATTTCATGCCGGTCTCACTGCTCTACGTTAACGCACTACTTGACATAATTATTGCACTTCCCGTCAATGCATTTTTTCACTGCCCATGTACATCACTATTTATTGTCATGTTCACTCTCCATATTCAACACTATTCATCACAATGTTTATTGCACATGTTCAATGCATGCCAAAAAAACCTAATTTGAAGAAATTGAAAAAGATAAATAACGAAAAAGGTTTGAGTGTTATCTGCATTGCATTCCATAATTATATGGCACCATCATGAGATGAATGGATGACATACAACGTATGGCTACCAGAAGTCATATTACGACCACACAATCAACCTCCTCCGCAAATTAAAATCAATTGAATGCACAGAAGCTTCCTACAGCCGCACGGACGAAGCAGCAGTACTACGACCACCAACACTCCTTCACCAAAGCTCTCTCCGACCTGTTTTGTGGCTTCCTCGCAACCGGAATTCCGGGCAGGGACCAAGTCAATAGAGAACGAGACAGAAATCACAGAGAATGACCTGAGGCAGAGAGGCGGGGGAGCAGCAGACAGCTGGACGGCAGTGGTAGGTGGCTGGTGGCCATGCGGTGGGAAGGGAGCGGCAGGCAGGCAATGGGAGGCTAGAGGCTAGGGTTGGAGAAAATGAGTGGGAGGTTAGAGTTTTATAGACATAACCTAAAGGGTATATTAGTCCATAAAAATTATTTATTTATTTATTTATTACGAAATTATTTAAATATTATTAATTCAAATATTATTTTGAGGAAAAAACTACTTAGGTCATAGATTGGGAATGTGATGGAGTTTTAGTCATACCTAAGATAATTATCTCTATATTTTAATGCACTACAAGTTCTTATAGTAGGTCATACATATTACTATTTGCATTAATTGTGCAATTTATGGCGCATAAAGATGAAAAAAACTGTGTTTACTTTTTCTACTGAGTCATTATTTTTGTTCTTATCCCACATATTTTAGGTAATTGAAACCTTTTGGTTTCTATGCAGCTGCATGCACTTGTGGAATTTGATACCATAGAAGCTGCTTTAAAAGCTGTGAGTTTGAGTATCTTCTGGTTATATACATGTGGGGATCTTACACTAACTTAAGGGTTTTGTTTTGTTGTATTTTAATGGCAAAATTCATGCAGGTGGCCACATTGAATGATGAACAAGATTGGAGATTTGGCTTGAGAGTAAAACTTCTCATGAAAGAGGTCATTAGTCACCTTTGAATGCTTTAGCTCTGCCATTGTTTTGTTCTGCCTCAGTTTGGCCCTTCAAAATTACTTGAACAATTGACTATATATATATATATATATATATATATATATATATATATATATATATATATATATATATATATATAATGAGTTCATGTCTTCAGGGAAAGCGGACACAGAAAAAGAAAGTATGGAGGGAATTAGGCATTGATAGGCATACTTGTGGTCAAGCATTATCTGATCAAGCTGTGGATGAGGAGAGCCGCCATCCTAGCGAACAGCATGGTGATTCACATGATGAAAAGGTTAGTACTTTCAAAACTTTCAATGCATAAAAAGTGTAGTTTGATTTCATCCAAGAAAAGGTGTTCTACACATACACCCTCTCCTTTCTTAAGTAGTTGCCCATTAAGGTAAAATTGCGTCTTTTTTTTGCTAAATTGACAATCGTACACCTAGCCTTGGCGCACCAGTTATAGTATTGTTGTGTGACCAAGAGGTCACGGGTTCAAGTTTTGGGAGCAGCCTATTGTCAAAAATGATAAGGGAATGTTTGCTCCTAATACACCCTTGTGGTTAATAAAGTGTAGAATAAGGAGGAATTGAGACTGAAAAGCTTGATTCATTCCATGAAATGATATCCTATTTATACAACATTTTAGAGCTAGGCTACTAATTATAATATTAAATACAAGGATTTGTAACTGAAATATTAAATACAAATATTCTAATTTATTTTGTAACTCATGTAACTGATCTCTAGAGCTGTCTAGACTCTTCTGTCTATATGCCCCCGCAAGCCAGGTATTCTATCAGTGCTGAGAATCCTGAGCTTGTCACGTAGAAAAACAAACCGTTGTCGTGAAAGGGATTTGGTGAGAATGTCAGCTAGTTGATCATGCGAGGGGATATGAAGAACCCGAAGAAGGCCACGTTGCACACGTTGACGAACAAAATGGAAATCAATGGCAACATGTTTCATTCGAGAATGGAATACCGGATTGGCTTAAGAGGTGGTAGCGCCTTTATTATCACTTAGAAGAACTGGAGGAGAAGAAGGGGGATGTCGAAGCTCATGAAGAAGTGACTCAATCCAAAGAGTTTCAGATGCAGCAGTGGATAGGGCCCGATACTCTGCTTCGGTTGAGGATTTGGCAATTGTGCGTTGCTTGGAGGACTTCCATGAAATAAGCGATTCTCCGAGAAAAATGGCATAAGCACTGGTAGAGGATCGGTCATCTGGATTTCCCGCCCAGTCTGCATCAGCATAAGCACACAATGAAAGGTGAGAACTCCGACGAAGATATAAACTATGAGAGGCTGTTCCGTGAAGATACCGCAAGAGACGTTTCATGAGCTGCCAATGGTTCACCGTGGGTTTGTGCATAAACTGGGCTAGCTTGTTGATGGCAAAGGCCGTATCAGGTTGGGTGAGGCTTAAATACTGAAGTGATCCAATAACTTGACGATAGAGAGTGGCATCACAAGAACCTGAGCTATCAAACAGAGTCAAGGAAGCTGAGGAAGCTAAAGGCGTGGATACTGGATTCGCCTCGTGCATGTGCAACACCTGTAATAAATCTGTAATGTACTTGTGTTGATCAAGAAAGAGTCCATCTGATGCAGGGGTAACCTGTATGCCCAAAAAGTAATGTAATGACCCCAAATCCTTAATGGAGAATTTTTGTGCTAACAAGTTAATAGTCCGATGAATCAAGTCTGGTGTAGAGCCCGTAACAATAATATCATCCACATATACCAACACATAGATATAAGAGGGATGAGAAGAAAAGATGAAGAGGCTGGCATCAGAGACTGATTGATGAAAACCAAGGGATAATAGAAATCCACTAAGAGATTGGTACCATACTCGAGGTGCTTGTTTGAGACCATAGATGGATTTCCTATGACGACACACTCTTCCAGAGCCATCATTGAAACCAGGGGGTTGTTTCATCTAAACCTCCTCTTGAAGAGCACCATGTAGAAAAGCATTGTTGACATCTAGTTGGTTTATGTGCCAGCCATGAGAAAGTGCAATGGTCAGAACAACCCGAATAGTAACTGGTTTGATGACTGGGCTAAAGGTCTCAGAGTAATCAATCCTCGGCGCTGATGAAAGCCTTTAGCCACCAATCGAGCTTTGAAACGATCCAAGGAACCATCGGACTTATATTTCACAGTATAAACCCATTTGCAGCCAACAATGTTCTGACTAGGATGAGCAGGTACAAGTTCCCATGTCCCTTGTTGAACCAAAGCATCAAATTCCACAAACATAGCCTTCCTCCATTCAGGTACCTGTAAAGCTTGAGAAGCACAAGTAGGAATAATATGATGAGGTAATGGTGAGTGAGTGACAACATTAGCTTGTTTACGAGAACGAAGGGTCATTGGGTGGGTACGTTTGGGTGGAGAGGCTTTTGGATCATGATGATGACCCAAGGTAGATATGGGATTATTTGTAGTGGGAGTAATGGTTGAGGGGTTGGTGTTGGGTACATTAGGTAAGGATGGAGTAGTTGGGTTTTGTTTGGGCCGACGGTGATAAGTGATGAGGACCGGTTGGTTAGAAGCTGGTGGAGTGTTATGAGGAGCAGGGTTAGGGGAGTCTTGTGTTATTGGGGTACGAGTAGTAGGAGACGCCTTGGTTAAGATTGTTTAAATTATTGGTGACATGATTAGTTGCTCCCGAGTCCAGCAACCATCCGGTTCTCCTGGTCGTGGCAGTATTGGCCTGGGGCGGATAATTTTGTTGTTCAAACCTGTGCCAACAGTTTATAGCGAGATGGTTCGGTTTGCTACAAATTTGACATATAACAGCACCCGGACTGGTATTTCCCCCAAAATTAGTACGCCTGCCCCCGAGATTATTATTTCCACATCGATTTGAATTGTAGAAGTTGCTGGGACGTGGGCCTCGATTTTGAGTTTTGAGAAAAGATTTATTCTGAGTATTGGGCCTATTGGGTAGAGTCTGAAACTGGGCTGGGCCTAATATAGACACGTTCTGGTCTATACTTCTGCGAACGGTCATTGCGACCGAACTATCTTCTTCCTCTTTTCTTTCTACCGTCGTTGCGTTCGCAGTAACAACAGCCGCAGAATTCAAGAGCTCCCTCCTTCGCAACTTGTCTTCGAATCTGACCAGTAAGGAGTGGAGTTCTTCGAAGTTAGTTTCATCTGGGCGGATGGAGTTCTCCACGGATTTAAACTCGGGACGAAGACCCTCCAGGGCTTGAATGGCAAAGTCTTCATCGTCAACAGGTCGGCCGGCCATGGCTAGTTCATCCGCGAGGGTGCGAAGGTGGTGAAGATATTCTGCTACAGGTTGCGACCCCTGTTTAGCATGGCGGAACTGGTCTTTAAGACTTCGAATTTTTGAAGCTGACCGGGTCCCGTATAGGCGTTCCAGTGTTTTCCAGACGGAGGCGGAGGTCTTTGCAGACCCAACCAGCGGTTTGCAGGCGGAACTGAGAGAAGATACAAGAGCGTGCCGCACCAGACGATCCTGTCTCTTCCATCGCAGAAAGTTGGTAGCTTCAGTTTCTGGAGGAGGACTGATTTTTTCATCAATATACTGATCTAGATGAGACCCGAACAGAAGGTCCATTACTTGGTCTCTCCATACAAGGTAATTTGATCCATCTAGTTTTTCTGGGAATTGGTTAGGGCCGAGCATAACAAGGCCATCCGGGGTTAGGGGATTATTGGCTGAGAGAGATGACGTTGAGTTATCATTCACGTCTTCTGGACTTTTGTCTCTATTATTTTCATGAGCCATGGGCAGAGAAAGGTGATGCGGGGAGGATAGTTCAGTGAAGAGAATAGGCCGTTTAGGCCTCTAGAGGCTCTGATACCATAATAAAGTGTCGAATAAGGAGGAATTGAGACTGAAAAGCTTGATTCATTCCAAGAAATGATATCCTATTTATACAACATTTTAGAGCTAGGCTACTAATTATAATATTAAATACAAAGATTTGTAACTGAAATATTAAATACAAATATTCTAATTTATTTTGTAACTCATGTAACTGATCTCTAGAGCTGTCTAGACTCTTCTGTCTATAGTGGTGGGACCCTTCCCCAGACCCTCGCCTTGCGGGGATGCCGATGTGAACTGGGGCTGCCATTTTTTTACAATAATACCCCTAGTATGATAAAGCAAAAGACAAATAAATCAGAGGGAAACTTAGTCCTTTTACTATGTTTTACGTAGTAGTTTATTGGATTTCTTAGTAGGCATTTATTGTGTATAATGTGTCTTTTCTAAATGGGAGTGTTATATAAGGACAGCACATGTTAGCCTCTCAGATCAGTTTGGTAGTTTTGATATTATGCCAAGTTTTATTAATAAGAATGTTGGATGTGATGAGTCAAAAAAAAGGACAGCACATGGTCATTGTAGGGATATTTCTACATCTCATGCTTAGATATTGTTTTAGAGGTCTTATGGGATATGACTTATTTTCAAGGGAAAAGTTCTTTTTAAAAGAATAAAAGTATTATAAATAAAAAAGAAGCGTTTGGAGGAAAGCAAAGAACTTGTGTTGATATAATTAAGAAGCATTTTAATGCTTATTTAAGAAAGCAGCCAGCAGTTGTGTGCTTTTTCAGAAAAGCAGTTAGTTGCGTTTATGATAAAACACTTAATACCACATGTATCCCAAACAGGCTTGCTATGCTAAAAAGAACCTGCCTTGGCCTTGTGCATCTTTGGCCTCCCACATTCTTCTATGCTCCGCTTGATCAGTGATCACTCCCAGGCCTCATTGCTACGCCCTCTTCCATTGCAGCTCGAGCATTTTAGAACAATGACTAATTTTAGGTTTAGATAACTACAAGGTTAAGATGTTGTTCAATTAGCAGTAGAATTTGTCAGAACTACTTTGCTATAATAGAAGCACGGAAGAAGAACCGAAATGGTGAGATAATGCAATTTGAATCATGATCATTTGCTGTGTATTTCTGATGGAAACTGTGATCAGATTGATGATAAGTAACTTTTGTTATGAACTTTAGAAATTAAGGTTTGTATTCACTTTGCATGTGTATTACTTGAAATATCGGATGGCGACCATTTACCAAAGGGGAGAATTGGTGAGCATGTACCAAAAGAGACAGATGGACATGCAGGCCGGAGCAGAGGACGTGGAAGGAGGCAGAAATGTGGAACAAACGTACAAGGTAATCAATTGACCAACATGCTCTATATGCTTATCGCGTGTAATTGATATCATCAACTCATCATCATCATCATTATTAATAATTAATCAGTTGCTGATATTTTTTTCTATATTTTAACAACACGCTTCGAAGTCCAAGGAACACGTCCTTCTCCTGCTCATGGTACTGAAACCTCAAAACCACCACCTGGTCCAAGAATGCCTGATGGGACAAGAGGATTCGCGATGGGGCGAGGCAAGGCTTCAGTTTCTCTGTAATCTAGCTTTGTATGGTGTTTGTTGCTGCCAAATTTGGGTTGATTTTTTCCCAGCGTGTTGTAGTAGTATTTTTTAATCGGTGATATTGCCTGGTCCCTGTGTTTAATGGAGTTTTCCTTTTTTCCTTTTCTCCTTTTCTTTGTTCTGTAATTCTATCTGCTACTACTGGAAATGCCACTTGATGAAGAGTGGGGTGTTCGAGGTTTATCCTAGCATTTATGTTAGCACTTGTAAGGTTGCGATAATTTGTCTCCTCAATGTGGCGCGTTTGAATTTAAGCAGCTATAAAAGGAGGTGAGGGGATTATAAGTTTATAACTAGGGATGACAACGGGGCGGATCGGGGATGGGGTACACATAAAACCGAAACCGCCCCGTTGGATAAATGTTTTCCCCAAAACTGCCCCATTACCCGTTTGGTTAATTTCTATTTGAACGGTAGTCTGTACCCGCCCCAACCGTTTGCCCAAATGATATCAAATAACCAATTTCTAATCCTACTTGTTAATGTAAACATCCTTCGTAGTAAATTATATATTCAAAGCACCATAAAACATACAAAAGTACATATTCAAGCAATCCAGCAGTTTTAGTCCTAAATTCTTTAGTATGCTAAGCACCTATTGGCTAGAGGTGGACTCAGGCCGGGCCTGGGCCGGGCCTAGGCCCGGTCAGGCTGCCGGTTTGTATCACATGGACTCGGGACCGGCCCGAAGATTGGACAGGTCCGGTTTGGGCTGGGCCACCCGCCCGGGTCACGGGTAGGGCCACCCGCTCGGGTCACGGGAAGGGCCACCTGCCCGGGTCACGGGTCGGGCCACCCGCCTGGCCGGGCCGGGCTGGTTAAAGTAATTTTTTTTATAATTTATATTTTATACTTTATAGTTTTATACAAATATGAAAAACAAACTTCAAGTGCATTTATTTGAAATGAAATAGGAACTATATTTGAAAATTAAAACAAACTTCAAGAGAAACATTTTGTAAATTGTAATCAATCGGAACTTCCCGCACCTTCCGATCCTTTGGCTTTGACACATGATTTAATATGCTTCATTGCCATCCCGTATCCGCTTGAAATCCCCACGCTACATTTTTTCCCGCACCATTTGCAAGTTGTGTACTACATCCCGGTCTTCAGGTCCTTCTGCTTATCAAAATTATACCGTATAACGGTATCTTGACTTTTCATCTTAAAATGGTAGATATAATAATCCTACAATAGATGGAGATGGAGATGGAGATGGAGATGAAGATGAAGATGGAGATTGGAGAATGGAGATTAGAGATTGGAGAAGATGTGTATAAAAATGTTAGAAAGTAAGAGTATTTATAAAATTTTTGTGCCCCCACCCCCAACGGCTCTATGCCTCTATTGATTCAAATTTCAATAGAACCGTTTGGGGCTTGAATTTTGATTTCAAATTTTTTTTGTATGTTTTATTTTGAATAAATTAAATAATGTAAAATTAATTAATTAATTTTATGAATTCAAAAAAAAATGCTACATATAAAAAAATGAACGTATATTTATTTGAAATATGAACTCCAAGTTACAATTGAGAATTGAAGGTAAAATTAAAATATGAAATACTAATCAATCATTCAATCGGAATCTCCGGCATAGGTAGAGCCACCATCGGTTGTAGATTCATCCATAAAGTGTTGGGATGGGGTGATGTCAATTTCTTGAGCTCTACGGGCCGCTTTCAACCAATCGTGGTAGCATATAAGCATCTCAAGAGATTTTGTGTCCAACCTCGTTCTCGAGCTCTTCTTCGTCAATGGTCCTCGGTTGGTCTTGAAAAAAACGGGAATTATGTCGGTGCAATTCTTGTTCTAGTTGTTCGTCGGTGATCGCATCCCCATCCCTCCTTGCGTAACTCGTATCAAAATCATCTTAACTTTGAGATGAAGAGTCGATATGTGATTTACCTTTGCGGGATCTCTTCCTCGCAAACTCTTTCGTTCGGTTGCGCTCGAGGTTACCCATATCAACCGAATATCTAGGATGATTCATCTAAAAAATATAACAAATATTAAATTGCAACAAATATATTAATAAAAATATATTAATAAAAAATTGGAGTTATAACAAATTAGTATTTTAAAGTTTACTTTAATCAAATTAACTAGTGAATTAACTAGTTTTGTGTATAACCTATTTTTTTTACTAACAATGAAATTAATATACTTTAACTTTAACTATAATGAGAATTAACTAGTTTTTTAAACTAGAGTCAAATGTAGCAATTAATAAAAAATTGTAATAAAGTAATTAACTATTAATCTAACTATTAATTCGAGTTATAGCAAATTAGTATTTTGAAGTTTACTTTAATCAAATTAATTAGTGAATTAACTAGTTTTGTGTACAACCTATTTTTTTACTAACAATGAAATTAATATACTTTAACTATAATGAGAATTAACTAGTTTTTTAAACTAGAGTCAAATGTAGCAATTAATAAAAAATTGTAATAAAGTAATTAACTATTAATCTAACTATTAATTCGAGTTATAGCAAATTAGTATTTTGAAGTTTACTTTAATCAAATTAATTAGTGAATTAACTAGTTTTGTGTACAACCTATTTTTTTACTAACAATGAAATTAATATACATTAACTATAATAAGAATTAACTAGTTTTGTAAACTAGAGTCAAATGTAGCAATTAATAAAAAATTGCAATAAAGTAATTAACTATTAATCTAACTATTAATTTGAGTTATAGCAAATTAGTATTTTAAAGTTTACTTTAATCAAATTAACTAGTGAATTAACTAGTTTTGTGTACAACCTATTTTTTTTACTAACAATGAAATTAATATACAAAATTAAACAAGTGTAAATAATAGAATGATTTCGTACCTCTTTCGGACTTTCGGTCTTTCGGATGGAAGTAATAGAATGACTTCAAATTAATTAAATATAATTCCAACTATAATTTTATAAATGTATGTATTTATAAATTATAAGTAGATAATTAATATAAAGTAGATATATAAATAATAAATATAATATATTGGAGAATAAGAGAATTAGAGAGTAGAGAGTAGAGAGTTAAGAATAGGATTTAGGAAGAATTGGAGAAGAGATATGAAAAAATGTTTAAGATTAGGAGTATTTATAGGTTTTTTTACCCCACCCCCACCCCACAAACCCCCCGGACCCCCTGCATCCCACCCAACGGCTATATAGCCGTTTGGGTTGTCCCTAGCCCACCCCCCAACGACTATTTTGGCCAAAACAAAAAAAAATGACCGTTGGACCCGGACTCGGCCCCGACCCGGCCGGGCCGGGTCAACTATTTCCGGAACTGAGCCTGCCCCGCCCATCCCCACCGGTTCGGGTTTACACCCGGTCCCGGACCGCCAGACTGGGCCGGTCCCTGGCCCGCACAGTAGCGGGTCGGGCCGAGTCACGGGCCCGGTGGCCCAAACCGAATCCACCCCTACTAATGGCTAATATCTCTTGTAACATAATAAAAAGTAGTAATCATCCTAGAATTCAAATTCAAAAAACAGGTTTATTCCTATATTTAGTTTTAGGCCTAACAAAGTAGTATTCCATCGCAAAAAATAGTTTTAGACCTAAATTCATTACACCCTCAAATTAATGTTCAACACTTCAACTTCTAAAATCTAAAAAGCGATTGTTCAACACCATAAGAACACTTCAATATGGATATGCATTAATATATCTATCATCATATATTAATGCATATCATCTGGCGTATTATTCTTTATATACTTATATGATATATACTTCATATGATTTAGTATACACATGTTAGCATATATACTTATTATTCTTATATAAAAATTATAATTTATTAATAATGTTACGGATTGGGTAACAGTGAGGGTACCTGCATTGTTACTGAACGGGAAGGTTTCAGGGTGGATAACGGGCCGATTAGTATAGAACCATAACTGCACCATTATCCATTTAAAAAAATTGGATATTCCCATCATGTATCCGTTCCCCAGTCAAACTGGTTTTCCCTAATTTGACCAAATCGGTTCGGTGTGAGTATCCAGCGGGTTGGCCGAAATTGCCATCTCTAATTATAACATTAACTTGTAAGGAGGTATGGACAAGGATGTAAGTATAATGGGTCACAAATAGGAATGCTATGGATACTCCTAGGCATGAACCATAACTATATCTTTAATTGCGCACTTATCTTCAAGAATTTATTTGAATGCCTTCTCGATTGAAGTTTTAGCTGAAAATTGGTACGAGAAAACTAGGCTTAGTGAATAAGATGCTCAAAAAGTTTCATTGAAAAAGTCCACCCGGAACCGCCCCAAATGGCATCGGCCGGACAGAAACTCCTATATAAGGTCTTATTTGACATGTTTTTGTAAGTTCGATGCCCTATCTGACCCTTTTCCCTTCATAAATGTCATGAGTCATGACATGTAAGTAAGTATTGCATGCATAACAAACTTACAATCCTCTTCGGCAAGATTATATTATCAATTTTTGGCTTGGGTTTCCATTTCACTATTCTTCTTTGTTGATGGAGTTTAATCCAACTACGAGAGCTATATCTACGAGAGCAGATGAAAAAATGGAAGCGTAAGGCAGTATTCTATTATTCGGGGTTTCGATCCCCTCATAGGAAGTTTACAAGAAGTATTTATAGACTTTAGGAACTAGTATTCTAGGAGGAAACTGATACAATAAATGCTATTAATTACATATTAATTCGAATAGGACTCTTGTAACGTTTTGGTCGTTATGCATTGATCATTCCTCTAAGTCAACGTTGCTGCCGTTTATTCCTGTTTGCTACCAAATAGCTATGCACGAATGATAACCTGCCACGTAATCCTTAGAATTGTCCCGACCTCACTAGAACTCCGCCCAGGCTCGAGGTCTGCTGTCCAGCCTGGCCTGGTTGTGGGTTCCTGTCGTGAGTCTGATTCCTAGTTAGGCCCAACGGCTAAACATACTAATCCCGTTTATGGGCTGATCCCGTTGAGGGCTTGATCCCGTTATGGGTTGGATCCCGTTATGGGCTTGATCTATGATTCCGTAATTGGGCCATGGTTAGAGTCCATGGTACCATCACGAGCCCCCCTTCTCTCTAAAATCAACAGGGTTGGGTTTTAGGAGAGTAAATTGAGCGTTTAATCAATTTCAAATTCTGAATTTTTCTAGTGGATTGCAGCGCCGCTCCGCATTAAATGCGCCCATATCCACATAGGCCTGCAGCCCGATACAACTTCCCATTCGTCCCACCATCTTCAGCACTTGAGTGCTATCATCACAGTTTCCAAGCGGTTTTGGG